AAAGCCTCATCAATTGCACTGTGAATGGCTCACGCGTTTTTCAATCTTCTCCTTTTAATTCCAGCAAATTAAAACAATTGAAAGATACATACGACGCCTGGAGTTTCACATTAGTAAGGTAGGCAGTGCTGCTGCTGTCTTTGCTTCTGTGTTTCTGGTTTCACATTAGTAAGGTAAGCAACGCTGCTGCTGTCTTTGCTTCTGTGTTTCTGCTCTCAGTCACTGCCCAGCGTAGGCCCACCCTGAGTCTAGCACGGGTCCAGTGAGCCTTTACCTGACAGATGCCTAAGCTGAATGTAGAAATGAAAGCCTTGGGGCTGAGACCTGGCTCAGTGGCTCAGAGCACTGGCTGCTCTTGTGGAGGACCTGAGTTCAGTTCCCAGCTCCCACATGGTGGCCCACAACCAATTGTAACTCCAGTCCTAGGGGAGCCAACACCTTCTTCTGACTTCCATGGGTACCAAGCATGAATGTGGTGCACAGACACACATGCAAGCAAAACACCCATTCACATAAAATATAGATAACTAAAATCCAAAAGAAAGAGAGGAATTAAGGGACGAAGGGTGGGAGGAAGGGAGGAGAAAGATGGGGAGAAAGAAGAATGTGAAGACCGATTGTTCATTGCTCTTGGGACTGCACTTTGATGAATCTGAGCAACTTAAATTCAGCTTCTCTGCTATTGATCCATGACTTCACAAAATCGTTTTTAGTAAATAACCTCATTTTTAATTTTTAAATATTTAATCATGGGGCTAGAGAGATGTCTCAGTCGTTAAGAGCACACTCTACCTTGCAGAGTTCAATTCCCAACACCCACTTCCCTTGGCTCACAATCACCTATAACTCCTGCTAAAGAGGATCTGATGCCCTCTTCTGGCTTCCAAGGGCACCTGTACTCAAGTATACACACCCATACATGGATACACACAGTATGTAGGCACATAGTTAAAAATAAAATATTTTTTTTGTAAAGGCTGTCTCCAGGCCTATGGAAGTGGGCCTGTGGTTAAAAGTCCTTTCTATGCAATCACTCAGTTGTGAGGACCAGAGTATGGAACCCAGCACCCATGCCACAAGCTAGGTATCCCCAAAAATGCTTGTAACCCCAGATCCAGGTGGGGCAAAGACGGGAAGTTGGCTGGGGCTTGCTGGCCTTCAGCTTAGCTGAGAAAACCTGAGCTACACATTCAGGGAGAGACCCCTCTAACCTCAAAGGAATAGGTTGAGAGTGATAGAAGAAAGCAGTTGGCGCCATCTGCTGGCTCCTTCTGCACACACACACACACACACACACACACATATACACACACATGCACGCACACACACACATGCCCATATGCATGCATGCTTGTACTTGCCTGCAAATAAACTATCAACTCCAAAAGTGTAGGTATCACCTATTGGCAATGCTTCTTAAAGTGGTAAGAGCTTTGTGTACTACAAGTTTTCCCTTTGATGGAAAACCAGGAGCTCTCCCAATGCGGAGGGCTCCTGTCCTTATTGTCTAACTCCACAGACCAGCATAGACCTACAGATTTATCCCCACTTCTCTGTGCCCCATCCCTCCTTTTACCCCCACCTTTCTTCTTTCCTTCCTTCCTTCCTTCCTTCCTTCCTTCCTTCCTTCCTTCCTTCCTTCCTTCCTTTCTTGAGACAGGACCTCAATAACCTGGAACTCACAACCTCCTACCTCAGCCTCCCAAGTGCTGGGATTATTGGCAGGTGCCACTAGGCCCAGCTACCTGAGTCAATGTAAACAATCCCAGTGGTAGCCTCAAAGACATGAAAAGGCCTTTTCAGCTTATGTCATTTAGAAACAAGATCAAGCAACATCTGCTTTGAAACAAATAAACAAGCAAACCATGTCACATGGTGCTGAAAGTAAGTGACTGGTCTAAAGTAATCACCCTTGGCAAGACTCTGTTTCTTGAGAACAGCAACACAGTGTATCTTTAAGGGCATGACAACAGCCTGTGGGACTTCTCTCAAGCATGACGGTTATTGATCTCTTTCCTGTTTGGGCTCTGGCAGGTAGACGAGCTTTATGAAGCCTATTGTATCCAACGGCGCCTCCAAGATGGTGCCAGCAAAATGAAGCAAGCATTTGCGGCATCCCCTGCCAGCAAGGCTGCCCGAGAGAGTCTGTCAGAGATCAACCGCAGCTACAAGGAGTACACAGAGGTAAGCCTTGTCGTCTCTTTCCGTGACTGTCTGACCTGCTAGTCACTGCCAGGAAAAGGTGAGCTGCAGCGCACAAACCCATGCCCTACTCTAGAAGATACACACAAACACAGCCAGACCTGCAGGCACAGGCCTGTAATCCCAGCTACTCAGGAAGCTGAGGCAGGGGAATTGCAAGTTCAAGGCTAATGTGGGCTACAGAGTGAGTTCAAAGCCAGGTTCAGTGAGACCATGGTAAAGAAGGACAAAAAAGAAAAAGTAAACGCTGGGAAAGTTGGTCAGTGGTAGAGCATTTATTTTCCTGACAGACTTGAAGCTCCTCCCCTAGTATAGCAGAGGAAAAACTGCAAGCAAGCAAGACAATGGTGGAATTGTCCAAACCAAGCCATGACGCTTAACATCCCATCATTAAATTCACTCCCCAATGCTGTAGTGTGCCCTGAAGGAAGAGTAGACACGGGTGAAGATGTCTAGCCCACGTATGGTATTGGTGTCAGTATCCATCCTGCCTGCAGCTTTGTTTTTGTTGTTGTTTGTTTGTTGTTGATATGTATATAAGAAATTTTTATCCAAGATAAAGAACCATGAACAGAAATATGTCTTCCTGGTTTCTGATGGTCCCCCGGGGTCCAAGCACTGAACAGGGAGGCTTTCACCCCTCTAGGGCCTCTGGAAGAACAGCCTGTGCTCTTAACCAGGGAGCCATCTCTCCAGCCCTATGACCTGCATTTTGAGCACACCAAAATTACAAGATCCTACAACAGCCCTAAAAGCACTACAGTGTCAAAGCAGTGAAAAATCATAAGCGATTTTCTCACACCTGCAATCACACGGCTCAGAGCGCGTTCACGTGTGTAGCCATGTTCGTCCCTGGCTGCATCCATAAGTTCTAAGCATGGGTGACATCAGTTGTTAACCTAGTGATCCTGGGTTCTTGAGACCTTAGTAGCAGTCCCAATCTGCCTGATGGCACATCTGATATGTCTAGCAACTGTTCCCTTGCAGAGAGGCCCCAGACTCTGAGGAAGCAAGCGATTTGCAGTGCTGAGATTTTGTTTTCAAAACTTTCAAGCTACTCCAAGCTCAGACCTGAGGAGGTGCTTCCCGCTTTCCTAAGCTCTTTGAAGTACTGAGAACTTCTGACTGGATGGGTAAAACCATTCTCTCTGTGTCCCACAAGAGTGAAGGTGCTGAGCCGGGCGGTGGTGGCACATGCCTTTAATCCCAGCACTCAGAAGGCAGAGGCAGGAGGATCTTTGCGAGTTCGAGGCCAGCCTGGTCTACAAGAGCTAGTTCCAGGACAGGTTCCAAACTACAGAGAAACCCTGTCTCGAAAAACAAAACAAAACAAACAAACAAACAAAAGAGTGAAGGTGCTGAGCAGAGCAGAGAAACAAATAAGAAATGGAGCCTCAGGCCTTCCTTATGTTCCCCGAAGCCCTGCTCATGCCCGCCAGTGCTCACTGAGTGGTCTTGCTTTTGTCAGAATGGCAGCTTGCACAGGCCGCGTCTCAGTGAAGCTGGCCATGAGGAAGAAGCTTGAAGAAGTAGTGGATACTGATGCTTACTACAATAGAGAGGCTTCCAAATCCTGCCCCAGCTGTGTGTGTGTGTGTGTGTGTGTTATACCATGTTGTTATAAAACAGGCACACACCATAGACTGGCTGACCCAGCTCGTTTAACCTAAAGCATGGATCTCGTCCTATGTAGCATGTATGGTTGATTCCCCCATCACAATAATACTGTTTTTGTGTGCAGTTCAAGTCTGTTCTTATGGAGCATCCCATACTCTGTATTTGCCTGGCTCTTTTGATACCATTTAATGTGTTCATCTAAGCTCCAGCTATCCTGTGCACTGGAAGCCTTGCTTAGCCGTGTCTCAGAGGCTGTACTGCGTACTCACGGCCAATAGGAAAGTGCCTTTAGTTCATGCGGTCACTACTGAACTGCCTTGTGCTTGGAGCTGCAGTGTGGAAGGTGATGGATCTAACTCCATCTCCTGTGCTCTTTGCAGAACATGTGCACCATTGAGGCGGAGCTGGAGAGTCTTCTGGGAGAATTCTCCATCAAGATGAAAGGTAAGCTCTCCTCGTTTAGAGAGAGACAGAGGTGCCGTCTCCACAGCGCTTCCTGAGAAGGCATGCTATTTGTGTTTCCCTTGCAGAGACATAAGGTCACACTCAGCCCTCTCACTCGTGGTGGTATTCTGATGAGTCTCTTCTTGACTCTTGCCTTCACATTTAATAACAGTGTTTATTGTAGGACTATGTCAGACAGGCGGAAAAACCGAGTGAGCAAAACAGCAAACCCTCACAACCCATCCCCCAGATTCGGTAATCACCAAGACTATTTTCTTTTCCCTCTGATGAGCTAGAAAACTCCAGAGGAGTGAAACCCAAGTGTGTCAGCCTGTGCCTGTAAACTTCAGGTTTACAGTTCTGAAGGAATAGGGCCATCTTCTTATGTAATTGCAGAGCCACGTCCTGTAGTCCCGTTCTCACATCTAACAGAATTAACAAGCCTTTGTCATTAACCTAGTTCACTTGCACACAGCCCCAGCTGTCTCAGAAATGCTGCCTACAGATACTTCGCTTCAGTCAGGACCTACACAAGGCCCATGCGTTATAATTAATTGTCAGACGGATTCCCCCGAATCTAAAAACCCCTGTCCTACATTCGAGACTTGCCTGTTGGCGTCTCTGTTTATTTATCTACTTAGGGTATTTCTTTTTGTTCCCAAGACAGATTTTTTTCTACATAATTCAGGCTGGTCTCAAACCCAAGGCAATCCTGCCTCAACCTGCTAAGTGCTGGGGTTATAAGTCTATATCACTCTATCTGACTTACTGTCACATAAATCATTTCATCTGTTCCTTCCCTCCCTTCCTGTGAGTCTGTGATGTTTAGTACAGAATGTTCTGATCTAGAGGCATCATTGGTTTAGACTACAGCATCTTCAGCATAGAAAGGAAGCCTGGTTTCAGAAAACAGAGCACCACCTAGACATGGTCAGACTTACACTGCAGTGTCCACAGTGGCCATCAGAGCTGTGGGTCAGCACCATCCCAGCCAGTCCTTTTCTCTCCCACGTTTTGGCCCATCGGACTGCAGTTGAGTGGACGGGGCCCCTGCAGTCCTTTCTCTCAGTTTGGTTGCTTAACAGCTTGATCCCTAGATTGCTAATGAGGATAATAACCTTACCTACTTTCTGGAAAAAGGAGAGTGAAGAGGGGAGACTCTCTTTCAAAGGGGCTCAGGGTGGGGCTAGAGATGGCGCAGTAGTTAACACCAGTTCTTGAAGAGGACCTGGGTTTGATGCTTAGTGCCTACATAACAGCTTATATCCCCTGGTAACTCCAGTTCCAGAGGATCTGGTGCCCTCTTCTGACTTCCTCGGGCAGCAGGCAAACATGTGGTGCATATGTGTACATGCACCTTGCCCATGCTGGGCATCTGCCCCTTTCCAACTCTGTGCGCCTATTTGCTTCCACTTGGGTCTCCATCTGAGGTAGTGGTTCACAACCACTCTGGACCCACCCTTCCTCTCAGCAGTTCAGAATCTATACAGCCAGTGTAGGGTTCTAAAGGTCTTTCAAATTTCTGGATGATTGTGTCAGCAGCCTGGTTACTTGTGTACTAGCATGCAGAGCAAAGTTACTTTGTCACTGTTAACACAAGGACCGTCCATGTCCCGTGGCATGAAGGACAACACACAGAGGGTAAGGTCCCCCACCACTGTTAACACAAGGCCTGCCGGTGTCATGTTCTGTTTCTGACATTCACTGCTACCAGATGTTTCCATTTCTGATGAGAGGGATAATTTCTTCTGTTTCGTATATGGGAGCTGGTGGCCAAGAGACATTAGATGATTTCTCCCGGGTCACACCGTAAGCTGATGTCAGACTTGAAACTGAATTCTGGGTCCTGGCTCCTATGTTCCTTTCCTCACCTCTGTGACAAAAGGCAGCTCTGGGGAGAAAGGGTTTACCCTAGTCATGGTTTGTCATGGCAGGGAGGGTGGGAAAGAGCTCATGGCTGTGGGGCCTGCAGCTGAGGCTCCTCGGGTTTCCCAGGAGCACGCAGAGAAAGGACAGAGCTGATGCCCGGCGCACCTCCCTTTTGTTGTTGTTGTTCAGTGCAAACCCCAGACTGCAGGATGTGGCCACCCACATTCAGGGTGGGTCTTACCTTCTAAATCAACTGACCCTGAAAACACCCTCACAGATAGACCAAAGGGCTATGCTTCGCTGATTCTCAGGCCTCTTCCTTCCTTTCCTGCGGGCTTGACAGGGTCTCATGTAATATTTGCTACACAGCTGAGGCTGACCTTGAACTCTTGATATTCTTACCACTCCCGACCCAGTAATTGCTAGGATTCTAGTCGCCCATCACCATACCCAGCCATCTAGGCATTTTTTTTTTTAATTCAAGCAATTTGACCGTGGAAATTAACCATCTCAGCTGCCAGTACATGGCCTCCTTCATGCCACATTATGAAGAAGTTTTAACAATTGAGCAGACACAGCCGTTGCTCAGATGCTGATTTTTGTTCCCTAGAGAAGGGATCCTCTTCACCCTAAGACACAGTCACCCAAAAGGCCTGGTAGGGGAAAGGGACTACCCACTAAACACGGGGTCTAAATCTGGAGGTAGTCAGGAGATGATCTTGAGAGTCTGCCATTGGAAGAAATAGCCCGGGCCCCAGCCGTGAACTGGGTGCCTTGGGCTGAGTCAGCAGGTACTGGAACTGTCTGTTCTGCTCTCTCTCTGCCCGCTTTTCTCATCTGCTTCCTTGGTTGCCCTCATCGCACCCCCACTCTCTTAATGTAAAGAACTCAGAAACTGCATCTGT